CACAGTCAACAGTCAATTATTTGCCCTGTGGAAGGGAGTAACTGCATGGATAATTCAGGAGTGATGAAAAAAATCACTGAAATTATATTGCCACTGAAGCCAACTAAAACCAGTAACTTGCTACTACATTGTTTTCATCAAATAATTACATTTTAAAAGGTGTACATTATACCAGTCTTAGAAAAAAACAAAACAAAACAAAACCATGTAACACACATGATTTACCATACCTTAAAAATATACAGTATAAAAGACTATATTTTACATCTTATAAAATTTTGCCAGTTTGGTATAACTGTGATGGCCAATCTTAATAATATCTGTAATTTTCAAAGGTATTTTTATTAGTTTCAAAGATAATGCATATTATAAAATATCAACAGCAAGAACTAACACATAACGTGATGTTGTTTAATAACACTCACAATGAACTTACTCATAGGAATGACCAAGGAATACAAGTCATTTAATATGTGGGCTTCATTGTCACATCTTATAACCCTCTCAATTTCTTATAACCTTGGTCTGAAAATGTAACATACTTGAGAGTAGTTTTCCCGCTGCAGAATGAGATTATGGAATGCATGAAAAAGACATTTTAAGCTTGAATCACAGTACATTCCAAAAGAATGACGACAGACTTATTCTTGTACTTCTCAATATTTTTCCCAACTTAAATGATTAGTGATGAGTGTCCATGGGAAAAGTGGTGGTAATGCTAAATGGAGGGTATTTGGTAAAAATGTCCTTTAGTTTTTGCCTGTGCATTTGTTTTGCCCCCTATTGCCTATCTTAGTAACATCTCAATTTCTAAAGCTTAACTGAGGAAACAAAAACAGGCCAATGCTGTGACTTCTTGAGGTGAGGGCAGAGGGGGCCGCACAGATTGGTTATACTGAGACCGCCCGTCAGTCCGGGAAAGCATCGAGGGTGTGGTATCCCCAGCCCTGGTCACAAGCAGCTGGCAGCACGGTGCCCAGAGGGCCCAGGGTCAGGGGTTACCCACTCCAGACACAGACTTCCATGAGGTGCTGTCGTCCTTGTTATATTAGCAAGGCACTGTTACACGACTGCTGACTTTGAGATGCATCTGTTCTTCTTCTTTTTAGGAAGCCACACCAAAAAACTGAGGTTAATTTTATTTCCTCAAGAGACAGCCATCTCCTGCCACAGAATGTCCCAAAGGCCCTGTGGTGGTGAAAGGCTGTGCTCCGGTCCTGTCGGGAAGGGGACGCTAAGGGGGTGCCCAGAAGACACAGAGGCAGAGGCACTGACCACACCTGTCTTCAGCTGTTCTCCGGGCTAGATACATCTTTTCACTAAGGCATTTTCTATTAATTATTTCATATTATACAAAGAGAAAAAAAAGTCAACAGCTTTTAAAGCAGCAGTTCACGTCCAAAAACCAGTAGCTTGTGATGTGTATAGTCATGGACAACTTTTGAATCTGGTTTTGAGAAAAAATAATCTAGATTTTAACAACTTAAAACATTAAGTTGAATTAAAAACTGGTATTAGCCTGGAGTGCAGAATGTAAGGAATTTGTTCTCCATCCTTTTAAAGGGGAAATATTTTCACAATGCTTGCTACAGCCTTGCTTTCTGCAGCATGAAGAACAGTTTTAATGTAGAAAAGTCATTAATGAAGAGTGCGGCAAAGGAAATCTCATATAAGCATCTATCTCTGGGAGAAAAACCTTTTCTGTGGCTCAAAGCTACAAACTTTAGGGTTTTATAAATATCTTTCCAAAGACATACTCCAGACTCTGAAGCTAAATGATTTCTATTCATGTTTACAGACATGTTTTTGAATCTTCCTTTTTAAGTGCCCCTATCTAAAATTCTATAAAATGCCAACAACAAAAAAGGCACTTAAGAAGGGAAAATAGGAAGTAACTGGCATCAGCAAGATTAATTCACAAAGTCATCTATCCCAGAAAACACTTCTGTACTGCATTAAAGACTAATGCTTCACATTGAAGAATAAAAACTAAATGAATTACCTTTCCTCTCAGAGCGCTTCTTGCGCCTCCTTTTATACCGACGCCCCATGACGCTGAAAAAGGTCCCCATGTGCAAAGGCCCAGTGGTGGACGACGCCATGAAGACACGCCAATGCCAGCGCCAGCCGGCCCCAGCCTCATTCTGTCCCTCAGTCACTCGGGGCAGCAGCACAGCGACTCACTTCAGTGTGCCGGCAGCTGCGACAACAGCAGCCCCTGCCGACCAGGGAGCCTCCTCCTTTGCCTCGGGCCCATTCATCACGCTGCAGTTAGGCAGAACTAGGCTGAAGGGGCCCAAACACCATAATGACTTCAGAGCACACCACCCAGAGGATGACATGTGACAGTTAACCCTTCAGTGCAGTCACGGACAAAACACCACGAGCAAGGGGGAGAGAATGATAGCATGAATCTTCCTAGGGAAACAAATCTCCCACAGCAAACACACCAAAGTCCTGTTTAAATGGAAATCCTAATACAAAAAATCTATCAATAAGAGAGTACAGTGTAGAAAATAAAACTGCAAAAAGTAACAGGCTACCACACAACGCAATGCAGGGGCTCAGCAGATGCCAGCTGATGAAAACAGCTCCACGGAAAGTGCAGCTGAGTGGTCAGGATGTCACCAGTGAAATCCCTGGGACAGGAAACTGCAGGCCACTGACAAACGGATCTCCCTGCCCCCAGAGAGCGCTCTTTCTCCTCTTAACTCTGTCTCCCACCAACGCCGACCTGCCTTGTTCATTACTGCAGGGCAGGGGCACGGCTCATGGCCCAGGTGAATGACGCGCAGCCAAGAGAGGGGCCAACACCAACATCTTCCCATTTTCCGCTGTGCCTGGTTTGATCAGCACTGCCAGCCTGTGACTAGCACAGTACCATGACCAGCCTGGGGCGAGCAGGGACATGCATCACACATGTACATCATACAGCACTTGGTGCCTCTGCCGCTCAGGAGCCAGCATTTAGGGCTGGCACAGCAAAACCCACAGCCTTCAGCCCCTTCTTGTCCAGAAAAATGCTGTTCAGGCCCCAAGGAGATGCTTCCCCTGAGATGGCCTGTGTCTCTGGAAAAAAAGGCAGCTACATCCAAATGCCCTGAAGATTAGGCTGTCTTGGGAGGAGTCCGATTATGGGGAGGAGGCAAGTAGAAGAAGCACTCACAGGCAAAAGAAAAAAAAGACAAATTAATTAACTAGTCAGATTCTTTCTCTTGGCACGATGCGATTACTGTCTCGTGTAACAAAGTACCTTTTCCCAATAACGGCCGGCATCCACTTTCTAATTCATTATTCCAAAGGTATACATGAATTAGTGCAATGTTTGTGACAACGATACATGGCACCTGAGGAAATTATGCCATATTAAGCAATTCTTACTACTTTTAAACTTGTGTGTGTCCAGACATACTCTGCTTAAGCATAGTGAATTCTTTTCATTTTCTATTGTCTCAGCATCTATCTGGAATATGAGCTGCACTTTCTCCTAATAGCAGCAGGGTTCAGCCAGCCTTGACACTTTCTAGTTCTACACCACACCCAAGTGGCCCAAGCCAGTACCAGAGATGAGAACCGAGAGGCATCTTTCACTCAGGCACCTGCCCACACACTTCAAGTGACCCCACTCTACTCCCTTATTTGTTCTGCTGGTTGGCTGCAGTGCTCTCTCTCTCTGCTTGACTCTTTGTTCCTGCCTTGCGTGACCCAGGGACAGAGGACTGCCCTCGTGACTCATGGCACCCTCCCTGCTCAGGACCTGTAAGTAAAAATCTTTGAACATGCTTCCCATCGTGTGGTGTGCTGAATTTGTGCCTGAATTTGTGTCGGGCTCCTGGCACGAGTGACGATCAGGCAGGAATAACCTGGACATGGATCAGACAAGAGCCACCAGGGCATCTGTCAGTACACACACAATTCAAGAGGGACCCCCCCTGGTCACAGGTGGAACAATGAGACATCAGGCCGTCCGCTAGGCAAAGCAGCATCTCATGAAAGCACTGGAAACAGCACGCCCAGCCCCTTCACTCATCATTAGGGCGGGGCTGCCAGCCACTCTGGCACTGGAACCCCAATTTAGCTGGAGGCCCTCAAAACACCATAAGACTCAGGCTCCATGTCAGCAATCAGAGAGATGTCAGACATCAGAATTATCAGTAGTTTCATTTCTTAAAAAATTATTAATATGATTTAACTAGATTTTCAAATTATTAAATTTAAAACTCAGCTTTAAACAATTTTGATTTAAACATTTCACATTAACTACTTTATGTAACTTTTAATAATTTAGAAAAAATAATTTTCTGAAAACACAAAAAATTATAATTTTTGCTTTGTTATTTACTTAAATTCAAATTTTTAATAGAAACATATTCAAATTTTGTATACTTCAAATTCAATGACATTTTTGGTTTTTTGCTTGTTTGAGACAGAGTTTTGCTCTGTTGCCCAGGCTGGAGTGCAGTGCCGGGATCTCAGCTCACTGCAGCCTCTGCCTTCTGGATTCAAGCGATTCTTCTGCCTTGGCCTTCCGAGTAGCGTGCGCCACCAAGTCTGGCTAACTTATTTTGTATTTTTAGTAGAGACGGGGTTTCACCATGTTGGTCAGGCTGGTCTTGAACTCCCAACCTCAGGTGATCCGCCCTCCTTGGCCTCCCAAAGTGCTGGGATTACAGGCGTGAGCCACCACACCTGGCCCAATGACATGTTTTATTTTTTAATCCTTTAGATCTAGTGGTAGCAAATATTTTCTGTAAAGGGCCAGAGAGTAAGTACTTTAGACTTCATGGCCAATGTCTCTGATGCACTATTTTATTTTTAACAACTCTTTAAAAAATGTAAACGCTGCACAAAAACAGGCTGTAGGCTGCCGTGTGCTGGCCCTGCATTAAGCCATGAACACCAATAGAACAAGCATTATCTGAAAATGCTTAATATAAAACATAATTAGTGATTTGCAGAAATAAAAACAAAATAATCAATGTTATGGGAAACATACGCACCTATTCATCAATCATGTCTTGATCTGTTACTCATTCAAACATGAGTGGCATCTGAACAGAACACCCAGATATGCACAGTAGCAGTTAAATTCAGTGGTCTTTGATATTTTGCCAACATTAACTCATATAAAAACCATAACTCTCCACATATTTTTTCCATCTTGAAGATGTATTTGCCGAAGATGACACAATGTATTGTATCAATAGTGCGCTGGCTTGACCTAAAACTCTGAAAGATTTAGACATGACATGTGGCCTCCATTTGAACTCTGGTGCCCTAACCACTGCCAGTGTCGGGGACAGGCCCAGGGACAGCAGGGCCACCTGAGTGCCCTCAGATGCTGTGTACAAGGAGACGGCCAGCAACTCATCAGCATGCATGGTGCAGTTGCGATGGATTTCTGCTCCAAAGGACAGAGCTGGTGTCAGGATGAGCTTCTGAGATAGAGTAAGGCAAGTGGGGAGCCTGCCGAGAGGAACAGGGGCCTAAGACAGGAACAGAGGCCACATCAGGAGCCAGCAGAGGCTGACGCATCATGGCAAGCTGCCCGGGGGCCCATGTTGTTGCACCCAGGAACATGCGGGTGTCTGGGTTGTGCAGGGCCAGACCTGAAAGGGCCTTTCACGCTGAGGTGATGTCTTTGAACTCCATCCAGAAAGCCATGGAGAGTCTGCAGGTTTGCATCCAGCGGTAAGGAAGGTGGACTGATTATGTGGGGACAGGTGAGGAAGACAGGAGAGAGGGAACAGGGGACAGTCACAGCCCTACCTCAGGCCAGTCAGGGATGAGACGGCCTAAACTCTCCCATGGTGGCATGGGTGGAGAGAGAAGCTGGGGAGGAGAAACGATGCAGAGATCTCACAAGGCCAGGGAGCTGGGCTGGGCAGCCAGGGAGAGAGAAACAACGCTCCCAGAGGACGGACGGATGTTAGAGAAAGCCGAGCCCAGCTGCTGGCGAATGCATCTGTGATGCCCGTGAGGAGCCGGGAGCTCAGATCTGCTCTACTTCTCGACTGCCGCAGAACTCAGCACCAGCTCCAGTGCTCTCAGAGCCCTGATTTTTTTTCACAAACCGACTCCTCCAACCTTCCCCTGTGGGCAGTTCACACAGGCCAGAGTCACTTTGTCACATCTCTCCTCTCTCCACCAGGTCATGGGCAAACCTTCCTGACGTACTTTATGGCATTACAGCAAAGGGGAGTCCAGGCTCTGGTGCTAAGGCAGGAGCCTTGGTGTCATCAGGTGGGAGCCTCCGCCGCCTGTCCGGATTCTTTCCTTCAATGCTCACAATACTGGGGCTGTCATGGGACAGTGAACTAGCAGTGGGTCACTTAGGGTCGGCCTGACACCCACAGGCAATCAGCCACTGGTAGCTGTGACTCCACCTTAATTCCTTTTACCCAGCTCATACCCTCACAGAGGCTGCCACGGTCCTGAGGGCTTGGGAATGGATGGGCAGGCCCCTCAGGGCATAAAGGAGTGAAAACCAAGGAGGAGGTGGGTGGGACAGAAGCTGTCTGCAAAGGCTGCCCCCACGTCTGGGGCAGGCTCTTCCGGGAAGCAGAGCCTCCGTTCTCACAGACGCTTAGCTTGTGACAGGTGCTGGGAGGGGAGGTCGTCTATTTCTGACAGTGATGCCGACAGGCCTCTGGTGTGGTGAGTTCAGGAGGGCTGTACCGCAATGCCCTGCCCATCACTCGACGAAGCCTCACCAGACAGTTGGCACAGGCTCTACAGACTCTTGCCCTCTCTCGGTGACAGAGGAGAAGTGGTGGTGGTAGAGCAGGAACCGCTGCATGGGGCTCAGAAGAGAAGCTGAGAGGATGCTGGGAGCAGAAACAGAGACAGGTGCCAGGGGCAGTATGGGAGCCAGGAAGGTTCACGGTCGCTGACCTGCATGGCTATCACAGTGAGATGGGGGACCAAGGCAAGGTCAACTGCAGAACGCGCTGAGCAACATGCAGGGTACGACTCACAGCTCTAGGGCCAGTCCAGCTGCAGGGGTCCCTCCTTCACTGCAGCTGTGTTGTTCCTGTGCCCCCAGGAGGCCTGGTCTGAGACAGATAAGATGACCCATTTTGGTAAAAGAGGCGTGTGGAAAACATCAAATCATCCCCTTCCCTCTGCAGTCTAAGGTAGCACGTTTTACAGTTTCACATTACGAGTCGCCTTGCACAAAATCCTTACCTAAGCATGCATCTGTGCACACATCTGTGCTTAGCTCCCTGCTGGGAGTTCGGGATCTCCTGTTAAATACGGATGCACAGCATATCTCCAACAGAGGAAGTCAAAAGCAACCCACAGGATTAGAACCAAGAAACCACAAAAGGGAAACATAAATGTTCTTTAATTATTTCAAATAAGAAACAATGAAACCTCTTTTGACCTATTTTATAGTAGAAATTCACTTACTGTATTTGAAAACTGTAAGTGGGAGTTTCTGTAGGTTTATTAATTTAATTATTCCCTTGCTATGCATCAAACGAGTGAGGTGCACAGTCATGAAAAATGACTCCACACTGTGATTAGCCAGGTCTGAGAAACTGAGGACTAGCCAGAAGCTCAAAAACACCAGAGCTATGAACAGACCTGGCTAAGAAGAGCTAGACACCAGGTAAGCAGTGCCGTGGCCCCTGAGGAGGGGCTGGCCAGGCCCAAGCACAGTGGCTACTGGGACTAGCTGCATTGTGTCTCCAGCCGAGGCCCCAGGGGTCTCCTAACAGGGACAGAACCAAAGAAGAAACAATTTGAGAAGAGCCAGAACTTCTAGACAAGAAGCCAAAATTTTTATCCAGGAGAAAGCACTTAATATTGTCATGGTTTTAGGCAGTCCAGATCAAGCCAATCATACGGTAAGAAAAAAGGAAAAGACAGATGGTAAAGAGCTGTCTGAACTCTGGATTCTTTATGATGAAATTATTCTGGAGAAATAAAGTGCTTATAGAAGTTGGGTAAAAACGAGGACTGTTGCTGCCCGGTTGCTGGACACACTCACATTTTCAAAAGTCCAACTCTCTGCCTTCTCCCTCTGGGTCAGAGTTTTCATCTGATTTGGTTTCTACAGGAAGCTGAGCTCAATAGCGGGCTTTATTCTCTCTAGTTTACCCCCACACGAACCACATTCATGGAAAGAGGTGGCCAAGAGGTCAGGCCACTCCCACGGAGGCCGGTGGTATTCTGTGTCCTGCCGGCTCTACCAGGACACAGCCCTGGGAGAGTCCCAGTCCAGAGGAAACCAGGTTGCCTTGCAACTTCCTATCATCCCGTTTCCCAACTGATACATAATGCATGATTATTGTTTTCCTTGAAATGAGAAAAGTATAATTTCCCCATCTGCATTGTAACCCTTACCTTAAAAGACCAAAACTTACGGCAAGCCACAATTCAGAAAAGTATATTCAAGAAACAACTTGCAAAGTATACCTCAACACCCATACTGTAAAATCCCGGCAGAATGGATCAGGTAAGTGTGAAACCGTAACCCCATCACGGGCAGTGACAACAGCTATCTGGCCACAGGTAAAGGCTCCTAGTGAGGAGTCCACGGCTCAGTGAGAATGTGGTGAACATGCCTGGCAAAGGTCATGCCAGCTGGTTTGTGTGTAACTTTTCAGGAATCTGGCAGGTCTACTAAATGAGATATGACTTTAAGTGAAAATATGCTAAAAGCACAATCTCAAGAGATATGCCGTCATTAAAAATTAATCTGGGATTACAGTTAACATTGTGAAAGATACCATGGTAAGCTTGTTAAGAGATCCTGCCGGCATCCCCCAGCTGTGCGCCCATCCTGGGCTCTGCGCGCCACCTTGTCAATGAAGGCAGTTGTTCTGTGCTTTCTCAGATTCTGTATTTGTCAGTTAGGCATCCAGTCCTCACAGGACCAATTCTATTAAGTACGTTTTCTTATTCCTAATGCTCTGGCATTTGTGGGCCTTACAGACACAGGGAGAGACTGGCCCTCCCAGGGCTTAGAGCAGCACAGGGTTCCAGGAGGGTGGTCGGCTCTACCCACCTCCCTTAGCTAACTTCCTGCCTGCCCTAAATCACCCAAGGGCCTGGTATCAGGCAGCTAGTGATCTTTCCTACAGCCTAAGGCCCACTGGAACTGTTCACACTAGCCAGCCCTACACCGGTGCCCTGCCCTGCCTTTCCCGCTCAGGGGAAACCCCACTCAGGCTCTGTCCTGGGCTTTCCTGTGGCTCCTTTCTGCCCCTTGACTGACACCACTGTGCCCCGTGGGCCTGCTTGGAGCGAGTGCCCCTCCTCTAGGAAACGCAAGTAATAAAAGTCTCCTTTCAGTGGCAGAGGCCTCTTGGGTTCTGGTTCCTTGGTCACCTCCACATGCTACAATTCTGTGGGCACAAAGGAGACAGAACAGTTCTCAAGACCTTCTTGGTTTAACAATACATCCTTTTAGACTCGTCTATAAAACACAAAAGCATGCTAGTTTCCTGACTATCACACTGTATAATCTTGTTTGATATTTGTTCTGCATTCATATAAAAAGTTAGATTAAAATGGTATTTACATATATTTTGCCTTCATTTTCATAAAGAGATCATTTGGTTTTTTCATCAAATGACAGAGCCCAATGCAGAGTAAATCTTCCTAACATCAAAAATGCATATTTTTTGGTTTCTTGAAAGTCAGAGTAATTTAGACTCTCCCGGCATGACAAGACAAGCTGTGCCCTAACTGTGGTAAATCTGTGTGCCAGCAAGTGGAAAGGTGCCCTAGTGGGGCACTGGCTCTCTTCCTGCTTATTAATTCATTCTGCAGTCATTTCACATGAAGTTACCAGAGCTGAAGTAATGCCCTCACAACGTATCTATGGTTCTCTTCCTTTTTCTTCTCATTTCTTCTTTCTACCTTTAGGATTATTTAAGAGAAACATAAAAATAGAATGTCTGATTCATGAGAATCCAGAAACTCACAGCAGAATAGCAATGATTCACTGTATCACGTATGGTTTCTATGATGATTAAATTGACAGTTTATAATTTTAATAAGATACCTTAAAGCTCTTTTTTCCCAACTTTAAAAGTTCATCAATTTCTGACTTCAGCTGCCATGTCTTTGCAAGTTAATAACTGTTTAATTCTAGGAGAATGTCACAAATAGCCATACACCATTTAGTATCTGACATTCCTGGTATCTAATTAATTTTATTTTTATCTATGTCCTCAGAGTAAAGTTCTCAAATTTAATGTTCCCAGAATATTAATTTAGGAAAACTCTTAAAAGCATTTTTCTACTCTTATAAGAAGGGGAAAAAATGAGTTTATTAGAATTCTAAAATCTCTTTGAGAGTAATTTACTCACTATTTACATAAAATCAACACATGGGAAATTGTAACATTACTTAATGTAATATTAAAGTACCTCAGAAATGTATGTTAATAAGAAAAGTAGCAAATATTCATTCATCTACGTATTTACTGAGCATCTGCTATGTGCCAGTACTATCCTAAATGCCTGAGATACATCAGTGAACAAAAAGACGTTAACATCTACTTTCCTGGAGCTTATGTTCTAATAAGGAAAAAAAAAGACAACTGACAATGGGTGTCATAAAAGATTAAATGCCATCAAGTGTCAACGGACAACAGTGACTGTTACTCTAGGAAGATGGCTGGATGTGGGAAGGCAGTAGTGGCTATGCCATTTTGGAAAAGACTGCAACAAACTTCAAGGTGGTGAGGAAGGTGGCCATAAGACAGCTGGCAAGAGTGTTCTGGAAGGGAAGATGGAAGGTTCTAGGTAGCTGCAGCACCTGAAACCGCCCAGGAACAGCCAGGCAGCCAGACTGACAGCAGCACAGTTAAGAGTGAGTGAGAAGAGATGGAGGCCACTCTGCACATGGGACCTCCTGGGCCACAGTGAGGACATGGCAGTCACATGGTGGCAAGAGATTGTGGTAGCATCTTGAACACGGGCTTTAATCTAGTTCTGATCTAGTTTTAAAAGGAACACTCAGGCCAGAGTTGGGGACAGGGGCACAGGAGGCATGTTCTGAAGGCACTGCCCACAGGCCTCCTGGCTGCCATGTGGAATAGAAGAGAAAGGATAGGCTGCCTTCAGCCTGAGCGCCTGGAAGGAAAGAGCTGCTGAGATGGGAAGATTATGGCAAGAGCAAGGGAATGAGAATTTGGAACCTTAAGTTGTGGAGGTCTACAGACGCCTGACAGAAGATGCTGCTGGCCTTGGGGTCTGAGTCTGGAGAGCAGGGGGAAGGTGTGGGCTGGAGACACAGGTGTGGCACTCACCCATAGAGGTGAGGCTGGGTGCAATTCCTGAGTGAGGAGCATACTGCCAGGAGATTAGGAGAGGAAGAAGCAGGGAGCAAGGAAGGGCACCTGCCAAAGCAGAGGGCACAGGAAAAGTCGGTTGAGTGATGGCCACCTGCCAATCACTACACATGCATTTGCTCATTTAAACGTCATCAAATCTCAGTAAAGGAGACTGAGGTTTCAGAGCAGCGGCCTGGACATGGCTGCTATCTGTTTTACAAGCATCATAGATGCCATCTGAGCTTTGGCCTTTGTGGGTGGAGCCTGCACAGCTGTGCAGCATGGCCATGGTTTCAGCAAAGCAGTAACCAGCACAGAGTCACGAGCTGGTCCCCCTGGTCAAAGCCCTGCTCCCTCTTCTACTAGCCAAGGGCCTTAGGCAATTTCTTACCTTCTGGGCTCCTCAGATGCCCCCTCTGCAAAACACATGACAGAGCCAGGACACAACCCTGAGTTCATGGGGTACCAAGTGAGGATACTGCTTAGGCTGCAGCAGCTGCACCCCCAGTAGGCAGATACCACATGGCTCCCACCACCTCATGGGGAGGAGCCTGGCAGCCAGCTGGGCTGAGTCACTGACCAAGGTCACATGCTGGCCATACACTAGGACCCACTCCAAACCCAGAGCTCTCCAACCTGGGGACCCACACTCCACCCTGCTACAATGCGGCCCAATTAAAGAAAAAACACAGCCGGGAGTGGTGGCTCACACCTGTAATCCCAGCACTTTGGGAGGCCGAGGCGGGCAGATCACGAGGTCA